TACATAAGAGTATGAAAGGGAAAATCCTGATCTTCAGCAACCAAATACTCTCCCTTAAGGAGTTGAGGAAGTTCCTCTCCATTTTTTTGAATCATAAATGGGTATTGGAATTTGTCTAATGCTTTTTTCTGCTTCTACTGATATGCTCATATGATTTTCTTAATATTTTTTATTTTAATGTATGTTAGTAGTCTACAGGATCGGACTACACAGATCAGACTTGTAGTGATTCTCTTGTTTCCACCCTCCCAAGCACTGGGATTAAAAGTGTGCACCACCATGCCCAGTCTAATCACTGGGGGCAGGGCCAGCATGGCACACCGGGGATCAAACCTCGGCTGCTGCAGTCTGCCTAAACAGGCACTTTAGTCCACTGAGCTATCTGGCCGGCTCCCTGATTTTCTTAGTTTCTGTTAATGTAATATTGTTTTTTGAATGTTGAACTAGGCTTACAGAACTGGAATCTCACTTAAAAATGGTGTATAACTATACACCAGTATGCACTATTGGATTGGATTTCATTTGTTCATTTTTGTTGAGGATTTTTGTATCTATATCTATGAGAGATGTTGGTCAATTTTCCCTTCTATGTTCAGGAATAGGTCATAGACAGCTGCTATAATTTCATTTTTAAATGTTTCAGACTTCGGTAAATTTGTTTGGGTCTGGCCCTTTCTGTTTTGAAAGGTTATTGATTCAATTTAATAAATAAAGGCCTATTCAGGTGACTTCCTCTTTTGTGTTAATCATTGGTAGACAGTACCTTTTAAACAATTTAACTATTCTGTGTAAGTTTTCAAATTTATGGAAATAGTATTGTTATTATCCTTTTAATGATCCCTTTTATTTAATATTAGTACTTTTTGTACCCTTAATTTGACTAGAATTTTATCACTTTTATTGCTATTTAGAATGAGACAGCTTTTGGCTAGAGTTTCTCTACTGATGTTCTGCTTACATTTATATTGATTTGAGGTTTTATTTTTTTCCCCTCTAGTTTCTTGGAATTGGACCTTTTTCTAGTTTCATAAGCTAGAAGCTTAATCTTTTAGATTTGTTCTTTTTATTTTAATACATTCAATTCTATAAACTTCCAAGACCCTTTCACTGAATATTTGATAAATTGTATTTCAATTTTATTTTGCATTTTTTTCTTTTATGTGTGTGCTACTGATATTTGAACCCAGGGTCATACACTAAACTATATGAGCAGTTCTATTTGTAGTTTTATTTTCAATTTTTTAAATTTTGAGACAAGCTCTTGCTAAGTTACTGAGCTGACCAGGTGGGGCTTGAACTTGCAATCCTCCTACTGCAGCTTCCCAGAGTACTGGGAGTACAGGTGTGCACCATCATGCCTGGCTTAAAAGGTATTTTCAATATTTCCTTAGACATTTTTGACCATGTGTAATTCAGAAGCATCTTGTTTCTTTTCAAGTATTTGGGGATTTTCTATCTTTTTGTTATTGGTTTGCTACTTCATTGTTGGGCACACACATTAAAAATTCTTTTTGTAGGGCCGGCGACATAGTTCAGCAGACTAAAGCACCTGTTTAGGCAAGCACAGGGACAGCGGTTCCATCCCTGGCACCAAATGCCATGCCAGCTCCACCCTCAAGCCAGGCTGAGCCAGCCACAAGAATCGGAGTTGGGGAGGCTGAAAACAGGAGGATCACTATGAGTCTGAGCTGTGTAGTGAGACCCTGTAACAACCAAATACAATAAAAAAATCTTTTTGTAGAATGGACCCTTAATCATAATGGGGGTCCTTTGCTTTAAAATGAATACTGACCTCAGCTGTTATGAGTACTAGCACGGTATATTTACTTTTCTCTTTCCCCTTTGTCTTTTTTCCTCTGTCATCAGGTTCACTTTACTGATGATTCAATAAAAGGATTCTGCATTTGTTAGTTTGTATTTTTAGAATTTTAATTTTTCTTCTATTTCTCTGTCCCGATTATCCACTTATTTTTGCACATTCATTCAATCTCCACTGGAGCTTTTATGACATTAAGCACTTTTAAATTCCCAATCTGATAATTCCAACATTTAATAGCTGAGTCGAGTTCCGATGCTTCTCTTCAGACTTTTTTCTTTTGTGCTGCTCTTGGACATGATGCACTGCACAGAGAACTGCAGGGAACAGACCCTTCCCACATGGTAATCAGAGGAAGGAGCATCGCGTGGTCCTGCCAGTAGGCCTTTAGTGAGAGCCGGCCCATGGACTTCTACCTTATTATTTCTCAACCATTTTCCCTGTCCCTCAACCCTCACTTGGGTGAAACAAGAAGGTTGCAGTGTTCTGGAGTTGAATATTTCTCTTCTCCCAGCTAGTTAAGCTCTGGTGACATCCGAAAGTGATTAGGCTGTAGCAAAAGTTTAAGACTCTTGGGAGCGCTGAAGCTGGAAATTGATTTTATGTGGGAGGGCAGGAGGCCCGGGTCAGGCTACCTCAATCTAGAGAAAAACATCCTGCCTCAACATTCTGAGCTTTTAGTGGCTAGGCAACCTTGTGTCTTGCAACTCTGTAAAGGGATAAATACAGGCCCTTACTACTGTTGGGGGTGCGGCTTTCTTTGCCCATCAGGCCTAGTCCACCACCTGACCTCAGCTATCACCTTGGCTTTATTTTCTGAATCCTCTTGCTGTTTTCTTCCAGGGAATACAAAGAGACCAACAGATTCCTACAGAAGACCAGGATTTTCTGAAGGAAAACCAAATTCCCAATTCTCTGGGCCTATTTCAAAATGACTACTTCTCCCACTGCTGCCCAAAACAAGCAGTTTTTCTTCTTACCTTCACTATGTAACTGTGGTGTTCCTCACAGCAGTTCAGTTTCCTCACAAGGCTTGGCCTCTAAGGTTTTTCTTCAAAGTTAGTCCATGCCCAGTTTGCAACAATTAGTTGATTCATACCTGATGCTGGCTCCAGCACTGGTTTCCAGCACATTCTGCAGGTAACTGCAATGTCTGCAGTCTAAATTGCTGGTTTTTTCCTGTGACCTCAATTCTTAGATGGACTAAAGAGTTGAACCTTTTCACTTTACTAGGAGTGGAATTATAATTTTGAGATTCTCATATGTCAAATAGGAAACTGGAAGTATCTTATGCTGCTTTTGAAGAAACTGATTTTTCCAGGCTTTGTCACTTACCATGACGCCAGCTATATGCCATAGATCTGGTTTCTCCACATCCCGGCCAGCATTTGGTACTGCCACTATCTCTGAACTTCAGTGTGTATGTGTTTGGTATTGGAACTTGAACCCAGGGTCCTTCACATGCAGGCAAGTGCTTCACCACTGAACTATATACCCAGCTTTTTTTTTTTTTTTTTTGGTTTGAGCTGGATCACCCATTTGGCCTCAAACTTGCAATTCTCTCCTGTGTTATTCTACTGAGTACCAGGGACTATAGGTGTGTAGCACCACTACATCCTTAGATGTTCTAGGGGTATTTAGTAATTTTTTCTTAAAAAAAAAAATTTGAAAAAGTTTGCTACACAGCTTGGACTCCTAGCGATCCTCCTGTCTCATCCTCCCCAGCGCTGGGATCACAGGCATGTGCCACCATGCCTGGTTTTGGCAGCCAGCAAGGCATACAGTACTAGGGATTGAACCTGGGTTCTTGTGTTTGCCAGGCAGGCACATAGACTGCTGAGCTAGCTCCCCAGCTGAGTAGTATTTCAATGAGGTCTAATTTAACATTTCTTTAATGGTTAGTGGTATCAACCATTCTTTTCATGTACTTTCCATCCATTTATCCTTTTTAAAAATATCTGTTTTTTTCTCATTAATGGATTCTTGGAAGCTGTTAATGTAGTTTTGTATTTATTCTAGACATGTCTTTTTCTAATACCTTTCAATCTGTACATCTTTCATCATTTTAACAGTCGTTAAGGAAAAGTTGGTGATTTTGATAAGGTCAATTTGGTAAGTTTTTCTTTTATGAACATTTTTGAAAGAAATATTTAGTATGAACTAAATACGAGGCTTAGAAGAGGTTCTCCAAAAAGTTTTTACAGTTAAATCTATGGTCCACTTTTGAGTTACTTTTTTTTTGTAGAAGTGAGGTTTGGATGAATCAATCAATCAAATGATAACTTTATTTCACTCCATTAAAGCCTTTCTTCCAGACAATTAAGTTTTATGAATCAGTTCTACCACAGATTATCATAAGATAATCAGTTTACTTTTTATTGAAGTAAACTGCTGAGTTTTGAATGCGGTAAAAGTGGGCCAAATTTATTTTTTTTACAATTGTAGTGCAACTATTTGAGACATTAGACATTTAGAATCAAGCATAAAAATACCAGAAGGTAGGGGTTGAAGCCTGTCCAGAAGAGTGAAGTGGAGAAAATGAGTTTAAAGAAAAATCAAAAAATGAACTCTTTCTTTTAGTAGGGATGAGGTCATGGAAAACCTAAAATTAAAATCAGAATCAGCCAACCAAACAGAAAGCTAGAATAAATTCATATGCAAATCATGCTAAGGTATACAGCATACCTTAAAAAAGCTTTTTCCAATTAGCATTTATCTCTGAATTACCTTAACAATTTGCTGTATCTGCTTATAGTCAGTTATTACTTCATTATCTTTGGCTTAACAGGAAATTATATAATTTAACATTTTAACAGAGAATGCTATTATTTCCTCAACATTGATAATGTTTAAACATAGCATCCACACACTCATTAGCTGATGTTTGAGAGAATAGCATACTGTGATATATTACAAATAATTCCAAGATTAGACAGTGATCAGGATTACTGTCCTACAAAGTTTAGTATGAAATCACTGTTCAATTTTACTGTCAGAATCTGAATGTAACCCTACTATTTTTATTAGAAATCAGAATGAAGTAGTAAAATGTTGTACTAGTGGCTGGTGGAAATGATACATTACATACTTTGATAACAGGATTCACATTTTTGTTGAAATTTTTTTATGTTATTAATGCTGTTACTTTCACTTGCAAGTGGACTAGCTGGGAAATACAAAGACCTATACACTTGATTTTGTAAAATCAAGTTTATCGTCCATCAACTTACTTATAATGAGCCAGCCTTCCACAGACGTAGAATTTTATGTCCTGTATGTCCTGGACCAATATGTCTTATTGGTAACATTTTTTATTAAAACCTGAGCATAGTCAGGTTGTCTTAGTCTTAAGGATTTCTGGATTTCGTCCTTGAAGTAGGTCAGGATCTTCCCAAGGCCTTGGGCCTCGAATATTCTTCCAGTCTTCAAAAGCAGAGTCCTTTATTTTCTATAGAACCACAAAAGTTAAAAGTACATGTTAGTATGGGAGCCTGTGGTTTGATTAGGAAATCACTGAATGAAATTAAAAGAACCCAAGAAGCTCTTAAATAGAATTGTACTGCACATGTATCCTGTAAACCAAACACACTCACTGAAAAATAAGTCCTACTTTTTAAAATTTAAAACTTTTCTTGTTTGCTGCTGTTGGTAATGCCTTTCACCCACAGTGATAGCACTAATAATACAGAAAGTGTCAACATGCTTCGTTTTTTGAGAGCATGGAGAGAGGTAACAAGCTGGGAAAACCAGGGTAAGTCTGAAGGGTGAACTAGCATAATAATTACTAAAAAGGTTAGCATGAGTGATAGTAGAAAATGAGAAGCAAAGAACAAAGCTAGAGACCTAAAATATTCTATAAGGAAGAGACCAACATGATTCGTCTTGTGCCTGAGAAATAAGCCTGTACTTAACAATAAAAATTTCCCTGCAGTTAACATGAGCAATATCATTGTGCACAGTCAAAACTCATTTCAACTACAATTTTGATCCATTTTACTTTCCCTTAGTCTGAAGAGTCTCTCAAGCACAGGATGATAGAATAGAAACAAAGAACAAAAATGTTTTTTCTCCCTTGTACTGACCATTGCTTGGAAAGGACTTTTGTACCTCTGCTGCTTTGTTTGTTCTAGGAAAATTGCGTAGAACAAAAAAAAAAAAAAAAAGAGGCTGACAGAATATAGGGTAACATATGCAAAGATGGGAAACATGGCCTAAGTTCACCTTGACATTTTGGAACTATACATACTGGCTTTACTAATTAGCCTTGTAACCTTTATTTAGGCCATGTAGGTGTTAATTTTCTCATAACTAATAATGAAAAGACAGGCACAAATGTTTGATATGGTTTCTTCAATGCTCATATTCCATGGCTTCTGTAAGAGCTAGAAAGAAAATCTTCAAATACATCTTATATGGCATCATTACTAGTACAGTTCTTACATATCCTCAAGTAGCAAGTTATATTTTTCAACCAAATAGGGAAGCAGGGAACAAAAACAGTGAAGACTGAATTAAACATACATAAAGGAACAAAATGTTATTAATTTAGCATGGAAGAGGGTATTTTCAAATGTGGTTATGAAACAATCAAAAGCTTTTATTTATTTTTTTCCAAAATATTTTAATATAGTAACAGCCATTCACCAAATAAACAGGATGTACATGCTAGAGAACTAACATTGATCCTAGGCAGGCAAGGTTGCTAGAACAAGGTCATGTATAAATGTCTAATCTTTAGAGACTGTTATGGTTTAAGGATCTTTCTTTTTTTTTTTTTTTTTTTTTGCTCCCTGGGGATTCAGGGCAGGTTTGGCTGGCTTCAGTTGTGGGGATCGAACCATGGCAACTTGAGCCTGACTGCTTTGTTGAAGCAGCTACATAAAGAACTGAGCTAAGGGTCAGACCCCCTAGAGACTATTATAGTTTAGATCTAAAGTGTCCCCACCAAATTCCCCTGTGTGGAGGACAATTAGATCACAGGGTGCTGTACTTGTCAGCTGACTCATCCACTGCCAGATATAGCAGCTGAATGTGTAGTTAGGCAGCGAGGTCCATAAAGTGGGGCAGCACTGGGGGCGCAAACTGGAAGGGCACATGCCTGCTCCTGACTCCTTCCCTGTCTCTGCTTCCTGGCTACCACGGGACAAGCAGCTCTCCTCTGCCCAGGCTCTTCTGCTTGGCCACCTCTACCTCAGAGCCAGCTATCATGGGCCAACGCTGTGAGCCAATGTACACCTGTCTTCCTGTCAGGAGTAGTGTTGGGTCCTAGTGATGGAAAGAGGATTAAGCGAGATTCTGGATGACAGGCTCTGCATAGAGATTCTACAACCTAGAATTGTACATGTGTGCAGGGCAGGAAATGCAAGATCTACCAATTACCAGCTAACTGCCATTGGACTAGATTCAAGAAATGTTGATGAGGATCCAGTCCTAGCCCAGGCCCTGTGAGTGTGTGGGAGAGCTGGCTACCTTGCGCTGGCGGGACCTAT